GAGTAGATGATCTGAAGAGTGATACTATCTCTCAGAGGACAATTCGATAGCATATCACAATCTCAATAAATGCGTTAAGTTGGTTCCTTTCTCCGGAAAAGAAATTAGGAACTAGACTACACAAGAAATCAAGGGGTATTTGGGATGGGTTGAAAACAGGTTGATCAAGTTTAGGCATTGTTCACAAAATGAGTTACCTATTACTACTACTTACAATATAAAGAAATTCTGATAAAGAGTTAAAACCCACCAACATGAAACGAATTACTTAAGAATTCTCCGGTTTCTTGTCGTTCAGAATGATCCTTCGTCGACTGCGCCAAAATTTTAATATGTTATATTCGGTTCGTTCTTTATTTTTGTAAGTAATGAACAAGCACTTAAAACTATCACAAAACTAATATTAATAAACAAGAACTTATTACAGCTAGACTAAAAATCAAATGAACCGACGCCAAGCGGTGTAGCTTGCCTATATTACTTTGGTCTTTCGTCAGTCAACTGTTTCGAACGAGCAACAATGGGAACTAGCAAACACTTGCAAATAAAATAAAAGAAGGAGTCTTTAGAAGCTTCGCTTCTAAAGAAGAACAATTCGAGTTCGTCGCCAGTCTTTTGTTTATAAAAATTTGAAAATGTGAATATTGAGTACGGGATCATAACAATATATATATATATATATATACGTGAGATTCGACATAATGTTCTATCATTTATAATAATTCGGGGGGCGGAAGGGGAGGGGAAGGGAACGGAAGGGGGGAAAATTTTTAAATATTATTATTATTATAATAATTATTATTAATTAAAATGATACTTGATTATTTTTATATAACAGAAATTAATTTTTTTTCTTTTTAGAAATTTATTTTATTATTATTATTATTATTATTATTATTATGAATAGAAATTTAAAAATGTCGGAAAGAAAGAGAAAATCAAGCCCAAACGCGACAATTTTGATCCCAAGATGATGATACGATGGACATACCATTGGTTGATACCGATAAAGAAGTTATTCTACTTTCGTGTCCGGATAAATGTCCACGATGTTGATTTTTCAATGCATCCCACATGTGAATCTTAAAAAAAAAAAAAAAAAAGGAAATTTTTTAAAAAAGATGGCTGTCTACTTCTCGTGTGGTTCGCAGCAATTTTTTTAAAAAAATTTACGTTGTTATCGTCACCCCCGGCGAAAATAAATCTTCCGGAAAGGCTCAAACCGCAACTTGAAAATCCGCTTGTTTTTTTGGGTTCTTCAAAAAGTGCCAATTGTTGATCACTTCTTATATCGTAAATTCTTGCCGTTTTATCATCCGATGCACTTGCAAATGCTTGACCAGATGGATGAAACTATAATTTATATATTACATCGTGAGTGTGAATTTGTTTTAATAACAAAATAAAAATATTTTTTATTTATTTATTTTTTTCTTCTTACAGAAACTGAATTGACGTCGCCAAAATGACCGAAAAATTGTTGTTTGGGTTA